AGCGGCTGATGGCTTCAAACTGCTGACCAGGAGCTCAACCCCACCCGCCGGGCTCCTTCTCTGTCCCAAAGGCAGTCAGAATCAACGCCCTGGCCGTGAGTTCGGATTTGACTGTTGGTTAAAGTCCACCATGCTTGGTAAAGCAGAGGCTGGCCAAAAAGAAAAAGACTCCCAACGGGATGCATTGCCACGGTGGCTGCAACAACGGGAGGAGGGCCAGAAGCAGGGGTGTCGGCCTGCTGTCCACGGGAAGCGGACTCTAAGGCGCTCAACAACACTGAGGCATCAGGGCCTCCCATACACCCCAGGCATTGGCGCCACATGCATTCAGCAGCTGTACATGGGTTGAAATGTAAAGCATTCTAAGTAACATCCCACAACCTCAAATGTAAAGAGAAAAGGCATTTTTACAATGCCTTTCACGGGCCAGGTGGATTCTGCTCTCACCCACCCCTGGACCCAGTGAGGAAATCTCGCTTCACCAATAATGGGACACAGTAACTGAATCCTCCCCTCCCACCCTAGTGAACAGCTCCTGCTGATGGGTGCCGTTGAGTGCATTGATGCAGAGCAGCCCCGTGAGCGAGCACGGCGTCCCTGTAAGACTCCCCAGGCCGTCGTCTGTACTGGAACCTGTCACCGTCAGGTCTGCTCTCCCACAGTCTCTGGGTAGGTTCAAACTGCCAACCTCTGGGTTAGTGAGCTAGCACTTAACCATCTCACATAACAGCTAGACAACTCCACATTGTGGGATATTCTGCAAGATAACTGGTCTGGACCCTTCAAAAGATGCCAATGTTTTATATCTATATTTGGATATTTGTTTTTATAATTTGTGTGTGTGTGTGAGAGAGAGAGAGAGAGAGAAGGAAGGCTGTTCTTTCGAGACAAAAGAAATGAGACCAAGGAAATGTGACAACAGAACAGTATGTGACCTTGGTTGGCTCCTGGATGTAAGAGGAAAGGAGACATAAAGGCATTTTTAGAAAAACTGGAGAAATTCACACAGAATTATATATTTTATTATTTTACTACACAATAATTAATTTCTTGTGTGTGAATAGACTTTTATCATTTTTTGAAGAAGTAAAGGCTGAAGTATGTAAGGTGATATATCATGCAGTCTCAACTTTCTTCCAAACAAGCAGTCAACAAGAAGACATAGGTAAAATGCTGCAGCCAAGGTCACAGAATACGAGTAAGTGCTGCATGTACAAAGGGTAGACGTGGACTCAGAGTCTCTGAGTCCAAAGACCGAGCCCAGCGCCGTTAAGTCGATTAGCTCCGAGGGTTTCTAGCGGGTTTCCAAGACTGTAAATCTGTATGGGCGCAGACTGCCTCGTTTTGCTTCTACAGAGCCTCTGGTCGGTTCCCAACCTTGATAGGTGAGCAGCCCAATCACTACCTAACCCACGTCAGACCAGGGGGCACCAATGGTTCACAGCTCCAACACCCAGAGGCACCTCAGAAGGGAGCCCCGCTGATCTGCTTCCAAACCCTGTGAAGCAGCACACCCTTCCCCGTGCTTCTCCACGCGTCAGAATTGACAGTATGACGCCGAACTACGATATGCGTCCTCACAGCACGTTCTTTCAAAGTCTTCTTATGTTTGGAGGTCTTCAATGACAGGGGTGGGAGTTCCTATTCAGAATGAAAAAGACGTGTAGTGCATTTCCTAGAAAGTCTTTCTTAGATGGAGGGAGTCGGTGAAGGTAGACAGTGTGTTCTCACCCATAACCACAAGCAGGGAGGTCTGTGGGTCAGAGTGTCCAGGGGAGATAGCTCGCGTCTGCAGAGGACACAGCGT